AGGAGGAGGAGGAGGAGGAGGAGGAGGAGGAGGAGTAGTAGGAGGAGGAGGATGAAAGTGGTGGGTCCGAAGAATTGTCACAGTATGTTGGCGGCAGAGAGCAGGAGGAAGAGGCGGGTGGGGGACGATGGTTGGTGCAGTTCGAGAGGCGCAGTTGATCCTCAGATATCCAACAAGTCCAATTCGAGCCCGAAACGTCCGTTGACAACGAGGACACGTTGGAAGGGGTTGTGCGTCGGCGTTGCGTACTGGGCGAAGTTGGGATTGCAGGCTTCGCGTTTCGCCTTGGCGGCAGCGATGCGATTGGCTTCGTAGATCGCAGCGCCTGTCTTCACTGTCCTCCTCCAGGTCGGTCGATGGAGTGCGAGCTCATCCCAGTTGGCCGTGTTGATTTGCAGGCGCTTCAGGGGGGACTTCAGGGTATACTTGTAACGGCGAATTTTGCCTCCTTGACGGCGTGAACCAGTCGCGACGTCTCCGTAGAAGAGTCGTGTGGGTAGTTGCTCGTCGTCCATGCGCACCAGGTGGCCGATCCAGCGCAGCTGCATTTGTCTCAGTATGGCGTAGATGCTGAGGATTCCCGTCCGTTCCAGCATATCAGTGTCGGGGATTCGATCCTGCCAGTACAGCCACAGGATGCGACAAAGACAACTGACGTAGAAGTGGTTCAGTCGGCGTGCCTGATTTGCGTACACCTTCCATAAAGTAGCGACGGGAAGTTCTCCACCACTTGCAGTTGGGTTTCGTTCACGCTGATTTGCGGCGACGCGTTGTGAGCTGTGGCTGAGTTAGGTGGCGGTTGGTGCATCTCCACAGTCTTCTGCTTGTTAATGACCAGAACGAAGTTCTCGCAGGCGGCGGAGAACAGGTCCATGCTGCGTTGCATCTCCTCTTTCGAGGTGGTGTTCAGGGCGCAGTCGTCGCCAAAGAGGAGTTCGTGCACGGTGGTTGTGGATACGCGCGATTGGAAGTGCAACCGCCGTTGATTCAGCAGTTGACCGTCCGTCCTGTAGGCCATGCGGATCCCTGGGCGTTCGTCGCGGTAAGCGTCCATCAGCATGGCAGAGAACATAAGACTGAAGGGGGTAGGCGCCAGTACACAGCCCTGCTTTACTCCGCTGGTCACTGCGAATGCCTCAGAGACAGGTCCGTTGTCCGTGACTCACGCCATCATACCGTCGTGCAGCTGACGCACCATCTGTGTGAATCGCTCTGGACAGCCGAATTTCTGCGTGAACTTCCACAGTCCTTCACGATTCACCGTGTCGAAGGCTTTCGTCAGGTCCACGAAGGTAGAGTGCAGGTGAGTCCGCATCTCCTGACACTTCTCCTGAAGTTGGCGGGCGGCAAAGATCATATCCGTGGTCCCACGATGACGACGGAAGCCGCATTGGGTTTCAGGCAGAAGGCCTTGTTCCAGATGATTATTGAGACGGTTGAGCAGGATGTGAGCGAATATCTTCCCGCCGATGTTCAGCAAGGAGATGCCACGGTGATTGTCGCAGACTTGGTGATTCCCTTTTCGCTTGTAGAGATGCACGATGGTTGCGTATTTGAAATCTTGCGGAACTTCCCCTTGTTGCCACATCACCTGGAAGATCGCAGTCAGGTGATCCATGAATTAGGGACCTCCGTGCTTGTAGACCTCAGCGGGGATTACGACCGATTCGGGTGCTTTCCCGCTGGAGAGTTGCTGCACGTCCCTTATGGTCTCCTGGAGAAATGGCGGGAGTTCGAGGTCCACGCTGGTCTCCACTTTCGGAAAACTCTTGATGGCGGCGTCGGAGTTGTTGGGGGGCGGTTGAGGACGCCTCGGAAATGCTCGGCCCATCGCTACAGGATTTGCGTATTCTCTGTTAAGAGAGTGTTGCCGTCGACGCTGAAGAGAGGAGCAGTGCCCTTCGTCGGCGGACCGTAGACAGCTTTGATCGCGAAGAAGAAGTTCTTCCATTCGTTGCGGTCCGCGTAGCCTTGAATCTCAACAGCTTTGCGAGCAGTCCAGGCGTCCAGCATCTCGCGCAGACGTTGGGGCAGTTGGCGGCGACTATGGTAGAAGGCAGCTTTGGTGGCATCAGTTTGGTGGTCTACGTAGGCTTTGTGAAGGCGGTTCTTCTCGGCAAGCAGATTGCTGACGACGGCGTCGTTGTCGTCGAACCAGTCCTGGTGTTGGCGGCGTGCACTACTGCACACGACCAGGACTTTCGCCTGGTTTGTGTCCTCTCGACGAAGGCGTTCTACTAGTTGGCAGCGGCAGCAGCATTGGCGATTGGTAACTTGTCTACCCGTTGAGCTAACTCGTAGCTAAGAAGGAGATGGTGAGCAAGCAAAGACAACAAGGCAATATTCAGCTTACCTGGGAGTCGTATACCTTGATATCTCCTGCCAGGCCCATTGTCTGGAACTCGTGCCTTCATGCCACCGCGGGGCCGACGCATCATCTGACTAAATCCTTCTCGTTATCACCCTGTCACTTACGCCACCGTCGTTTATCCTGCCCAAGATCAAACCATAAGCCTGTATTTTATACAAGGTTGTGCAGTTTTCAAGCGGTGCGATTTTGCCCAGTGTTTGCCCAACTCTGATCGACAACACACTCTACAGCAGACTTAGTGTAACGTACAGCCGCTGAAAGACAACAAGTACCCACCGCCATCTGGATCACCCATGGCTACATTGAGCTTAGACAAAGGGCTAGCGTAATTCAGGGCGACAGTCGCTGTGAGACTGAAAAGAAAATCGAGTGGAGAGTGCGTCATCCTCTTCTTTCACGGAAATCGATGCCCCCCCCCCCCTGATAACACTCAACGCGTGCGTGCCTGCAATCTGCACATACGAAACCCCACCCAGCCAGCTCCCTCTCTCCCTCCGCATCGGATCAGTAGATTTTAGTACAAATCGGTGCGCTCAGAATGGCGTGATCTGCTCGCGTCTGCACTTAGTTTGTGAATAATGATGACAGGAGCCCTAATGCAATGAGTGCGAAGTTCGTTCGACGAAATACAGAGCTGCAGGTTTGTAACCAGCTCGTGGGGAATTTACCTGACATGTCAGTGTTGTGCCGCACCTGAAAGTAAAACCTCTGTATAGTCTTAAATTGCCTATCCGTCAGAACCTAGAGTCCCTTCAGTTCACAGAATATATTTCCTAAAGTCATACGCATCCACCTTGATTGAATTGTTAAACATCGGTGCCACGGTGGGACTGGAACCCACGACAGCAAGGCTTTAACTATGTCAAGCAATCCATATCGCCTTATTTTGACTGGCATTGCGAGCCTATTGCAGCTTGACCGACTATTGCCAATATTTCCGTATAAAACGCAAGTACACCGATCAGTTATTTTGATAGGCATATGAAATTCTCGACGCCTCGGTGGCGTATGAACCCACTACAGCAAGAGGTGGCCTTAGTACAGCCAACGCTCTAGCCTCCTGTGCCAAGAGGCTCCATCGGACGACGCTACAATTATCGCATCTGCCAAAACACCCACGAATTACGTAAGACTCGTAGCCATCTGGTGGATTTAAGATGTATAAATTGGAAAATCCTGCTTGGAAAGTCAGCCTTCTTTATCAGATTTGGTGGATACCAGACGTTGCATTAGATTGAACGGATAAACTTAATTTAGATGTGATTAAACTCGCGTCGTCCGGTGGGGCCTCGTATCACAGGTAGCTAGAGCGTTGGGTGCACTAAGGCCTCTATTTGCTGTTGTGGGTTCGAATCCCACCAGTTAGGCTTAGGAGCAACTTCGGAGACTGAAACCATTTATTTTTCGGAAGTAAAGCATTCTTTGCAGTGTCATTTTGATGTGAGGAGATGCACTCGATCTCTGGGGCGAAAATAATGTTCACTTGATTTTCCCGATACCTTTTTGATCAAGGACAGAACCGACTGATGTTTTGGACCTACGGAGGGTGACATTTTTTAAATCTGCAATTCCTATGCTATCATGCGCATGTTTATAATGATAACGGCCGCATTTAATTCATTTATAACCAACTCTGACTTTTCTGACATCGGTAACTGACATTTTTGATGGAAATGTGGATACCTAGCAAGGACAATGTCTGCGTATATCTGAAAGTCGGACCCAATGTTGACATTTCCTGAGTGAACCGCATTCACGTCAGCTTTTCGTTATTCCTTTGACGATTTCCCGAGCAGAGATGTTTAAATTGTGACTGTTCACCGTCTAGCTGTTTTTAAATAACTAACCTCATCCTTTGTTCTAAAAACTGACTGTGGCGATTCTATGACTTTGGAAACGGGAATTTTGTTAGAAATGCGGTTTTCCTGGCAGGCGGAAGTCGACACAATGTTGAAATTTACGGAGTGCCTCTTGCCGATGAATGCCAGACAGACCCCGATCTATCCCGCGTGTTGGGCCTTCTTCGCAGTTCTTCCAGTTTGTTTTCACAAGAGAAGTAGAATATATTCCATTTAGTTACGAGAGCGCAGAAGCGTCAATTATAAAAATGGCCGGGACTCAATATCGCATGGTGACCTGATTTTTGTTCTTCTGAGTGGGGTCGCATACTGCGTTCATGCGATCAGTCACTTCTGGCGGTTGCTTTTCGACAGAGTCCGGCTCATCACCGTCACAACGGTTCCAGTCTTGCCCTGAGCGTAGCCGCTCCCCCGGATGGCTTCAGCTGGGGTCCACAGGATGTCCAGAATCAATCATGTGCGCGAGGATGGAAGAGCACTCATCGATCGGGTCGGGACTCGGTCGAGATCCCCATAGACAAGAACATAGAGATCAGTAAACTAGATTTGTCGAAGGCAAGGGTCTAGAATTGATCATTGTGTCGGTGCGGAATGTACAGGTTTCCACGCATCAATAAGCCTGTCGCAACAAGTAATGTGACTCTACAAAATAAACAGTCTGGTTTTCGTTAGGTTTGCACAGGGCGTATCAACAGCGCATGGAGAATCGTTTCCAGATGCAACTGTCTAGCTCTGCCTAACATCCTCGTTTTCACTTCCGTCTGGCTCTTGGTAAACGCAAGTGGTTTGATCTGATGTTGGTTCCTGCCTTCACTTGTCCGGTGTCCTTTGCTTAGCGGTGCACTTTCTTCACCTTCTTTTCGCTACTGGAGCCTCACGCAAATTTCTGTATTTACCGAATCGTTGAGTTGTTTTCTCCTTTTTTCACAGATAAT